GTATTTTTCCCCCATTACCTGTGTTCCCTTCACCCCCTCCACCCTTCCCTATTTACATAGACTTCATTTCCATTTTTTTTTCTTTTCTCATAATTTTTCCTTTCCCTTCTTTCCTTTCACCTTCCCCTCCAACCACCCCTACCCCTTTGGGCCTTTTCTTCCTATTTCAAATTATCAATTATTCATTTTAATCATTTTAACCCTTATTTACACTTTCAGTTTCTCACACTAGAGAAACTCTGGTATTTACATATGTGTGTCCTATTTATTTCACTTAAGAGTATGGCCTCAATATGCATCCATTTAGTTATAAATGTCTCTAGTTTCTCATTCTTTATGGCTGAGTAGTACTCCATTTTATAAAAAACCCCACATCTTCCTTATCCAGTTTCCAGTTGATGGGGACTGGGGCTGTTTCCAAGCTTTAGCTATTACAAACTGTGCCACTATAAACATGGGTGCACATAGGAAGTATACCTTCTGAGAGTTGAAATTATTAAGCAAAGAAGAATTCAAGATGGTTACTGTGAGGTTTCTTCCAGTGTGCCATGTATATTGAAATTATACAATTTACTTTAACATTTCTTTAAACCATCAAACAAATTAATTACTAAGAGCCCTACTAATTCTGGATGTATAGCACATATAGCTTAGTTCTCTTCCTTGTGGCAATTTCGTACTTCACTCAGCTTTACTCAGAGTGTTCTCCAACTTGAAAATTTAACTTATAGTCAAATAAGACTTATATAAGTCTTGTAAGACTTATATAAACCTATTTGCCCAGTTCTATAAATTTGATATCTAGTGATGTCCAGTTTATCAAACTTTTAAAAAAATACATAGAACAGAAATCCCAAATCAGTAATGTTTTCCTAAAATACAGACATGTCTGGGTATTCATTCTAAACATCCTAAAACATGTATTTGTTTATAATGAAGGACCTAAGAAGGGGCTTATCTCAATAGAAAAATTAGAGGCTTATCTGTTTGTCCAGGATGTGAAGGTTTGAAGAAATTGACACATAAACCCTCTTTATTTCCCATCTAAATTCTAAATCAAATGATAAAGTGGAATAAAGGAGATGGAGAAAAAAATGTTATATTTGTTATGCTACTAGAGAACATGGCTTAGGAGTGGCATTATAGGCTTCTATCTTGCATCTCAGAATTAGACAAAGCTACCTACCAATCACAGGCAGTACCAGGCTCCCAGTGTGGGTACTGAGCTTTTAGCATTCAGCTTTGGCATGTGGAAACTGTGGCAGAGCTCATGTCTTGCAGAGGCAGGGGAAAATTCACCAATAAGGTAAAAGCATTCCTCTTTTGTAGGGAAGAGTGAATGAGAAAGGAGATAGAGAGTTTCTAAGAGTGGCCTCTCACACTGCCTTCAAAGCTGAGGTCTAGAGTGTTCCCTCCTTCTATCCTTACTCCTGCAGCACAGCTTGCTGTCAGCTTCTGAGCAGCTGTCTGTGAGTAAAGCATGGTGCTTGTTACTCTGGTCCAGTTCCTGTGGAAGGGGCTGCTTTCAAAAACCAAAATAGAAAAAAACAAACAAACACCTAAAAAAGGAAAAAAAAAAAGTAAAGTGAAAAAGCAGCATTGTTAAAAGTATAGGCCTCAGGGACCCTGGCTTTTCCACCTTAAGCAGAAATTGGAGACAACACTCCATACTGATGTCTCTACTCTGGACTGTGGGTTGGCAGCAGCCTTCATGGTAAGGCCAACAGGCATCAGTGGCAGTGATGACAGCTTGGAAATAATAAAAACAGCAATAATGATAAAAGCTAATATTAATAAACATTTGCTACATGCCAGGAATTCTGATGAACAGTTCACATGCATTATATCATCCCTTTAAATTTTCATACTATGACTGAAAAATAGAAAGTCTAAATAAGAATTACCCACAGACCCATTACCTCCATCTAATAACTGTTCACATTTCCTGTGTTTGTGTCTTTTTTTTCTTTTTGGTGGAAGTACTTTAAACTTAAATTACAGATGCTATGGCATTCTACTTCTCAGTAGTTCAGCACAAATGTCCAAAAAGTAAGAACATTTAGGACATAATTGTGACTGTTAATCCTGATATGTCAATTTGGCAGTGAGTTTTTTTTTTTCTTTTGGTACGGGGGATCGAACTTGGGTCCTTCAGCTTCCAAAGCAGAAGGCAGAACCACTGAGCTAAATCCCTGGACCTGATATGTCAATTGGTATGTTAAGAAACTCCTAGTGGATTAGTAAATCAAGTCCCTGGGTGTGATTGAGTGGGTCAAAGGTGTGACCTTGGAGTAATTTATGGCCCTTTGACCCTTCTTTTCAGGTCCTTCTCTTGCTCTGCTCCCCAACTGCCATGAACTAAGTGGCTTTACTCTACCACACCTTTCCATCATGATGTTCCTGCCTTGGAGCCAGCAGCTTATGACCTGAATTTCTTGAAACCAAGAGGCAAATTAAACTCTTCCTTTAAGTTGTGGGTGTTGGGTATTGTGTCTGAGCCATGGGAAAGCTAATACAATAATCATACCATCATTATCATCCTCAACAAAATTAACAAATCTCTAATATCATCTAATACTCAGCTATATTCAAATTTCCCCAATTCTTCCCAAGAAATGTCCTTTATAGCTCCTTAGCTTAAAACAGAATCAAAGTAAATGTTGCATTTGATTTTGTCTCTTAAATATCTTTTAATGTAGAAAAGTCCTTTCTTTTTTTTAAAGTACCAACATTACATTATTAAAAAACTAAACAAAACATGACAGTGGTTTTGAAGACACCAGAACTGTTATTGTTGTTCAAAACATCCCTACTTCTGTGTTGTGTGGTTATTTTCTTAATAGCTCACTTTTTTTTTTGGTACCTGGGATCAAACTCGGGACCTTGCGCTTGCAGGACAGGTGGAGGCACCATTGAGCTAAATCCTCAGCCCTGTGTGGTTGTTTTCCTGTAGTGTCATTTAACCTACTCCCGACCCCAGTATTGAAACACACATGCAGATCAGGTTAGGTATTTTGGCAAGGATACTTCATAGGTGCTTTTCACTTGGACATCATCTGGCATGGCATTGGCAGGTGACTAATTTCTGGTTGTCTTACTATTAATAAAATTATAATTGACTACCAGGTTAAGGTGATGAAAGCCTAATCTCTCCGTTGTTGAGCTATATTGGGCACACCTCACAACTGTGGTTATCGTTCACTCTTGACTGTGATCAGAGCTGTAGTATCTCCCCCAAGAGTTTTCATGCTCAAGCACCTTTTTCTCCCGACTCCTATTTGTAGTGTCTAACTCACTTCAGAGGCATCGCTAGCCTTTTATTGAGCCACATCTTACCATAGTGGGTTGGTGTGAGAGAAGAGGATAGTGTCAGAACTATTCTGGGTATTCCCAGGATCACTAGTAGGAATTTATGAGAGCAGAGTAGAAAAATAATTTAGTAAACTCCCATTATAAATCTTACATTTTTGTCTGTTTACATGTTCACTCTTAGATTATTTTGGCCTGCAAAAAATATGGTTACAAGAATCCAACATGTATTAATAGCTACTTTCTTCCCCCTTAATGACATAGGTGTGGGACTGAGTCTCTGATGTTAGTGACTTAGGAAATATAAGGAGGGGCTAGGAAAATCATCCATCAAAGAAAATCATCCATCATTCTTTTTTATTTAATCTTGTATTGCCAGAGACCATTTCTTCTTGTTTTTGCATGTGAAGTACTATTTCCCTGTATGATTATAAGTCTTTAAGGATATGCTTAATTGTTTGCCTTTTAGGAATGATGTTTGTGGGAAAAGAAGCTGGTCTTATGATGATATGACTATGGGCAAATTAGTCAGTTTTTGAGTTAAGTTTCCTAGTTAGTGAGGTAGGGTCATAATACACATCTCACAGATTTGCTGTAAGGATTAATTCATTAATTCATTCATCCATTCATTTCACAAATGTACTATGTGCCAGGGTCCCTCTAGGCAGAAAGAATTTGATGTGAACTTCAAGAGCAAGTCCCTGTTTTGGTGAAATTTTCATGAATCATTTAGCAGGTGAAACGTCTTGCCTGTTCTAGTTCATAAGGAAAGCTCAGAAATTATAATTTTCTCTGTTCCCTGTGGTACCATAGTCAGTGCCTAGCACTAATTTACACAGCGTCATAGTGGGGAGTCTGTAACAAGTTGAACTGACAACAAAAATGCCTATGGGCTCATGCTTCCCACCATGGGTGGGAAGCAGAGACAAATGCTTCCAGCCTCTTTTGTCTCTTGGTTCAGATTGTAGCTTTGACATGGAGAAAGTCTTAGAAATAAGGAAACAGAAACTTCCTAATTGAGCCTGTTCTGGGAAAATGTAAAAATAGATATTCTATAAAAACTATATATACATAAAATAATATATATTTATATATATAATAATATATATTTATCTATATTATATATTATATTTTATATATATCCTAATATGTATCTCATATATATCCTATATATATAATGTATATATTAGGAGAATGGCTAAATTCCTAGAATATTTTACTTAGAATTTGGATCATTTCAACAACTCACTTGAAACTTCTCTCTCATACTTCTAATGGTCTTTCTGTGTGTATTTATTTGGCCTGCCCAGTATGGACTGTAAACTCCTTGCAGACAGTAGTGCTGTTTTACACAACATTTTACCTTGTACAGTTATGTAAGCATAATTAATGCTCAAGGTATACTTATTCTAGAATTACAGTAAAATCCCCAACATTAACTATTCTGCAGAGGCCAAGGTCTGGTCAGCATTTCACTGTTCCAGATAGATGTATAACTTCCATAGCAGACAAGGCTGCATAATTCTTTTATACTCTGTATTTTGGTCACACATTGCTATTCCACACCTCCAAGCATTTTCTGCTAAAGAAGCTGACTGAGCAAACCCATGAAGATATTTTTCATTTCCTTTGATGGAGCATAATGCTTTCGTATATAAACACAATAACACAGTCATTACATATGCACTTACATTATTGTAGCCGCTGTGTGCTCAGCAACACTCCCAGCCAGGCAGGGAGCCCGATAGTTCTCTTTTCCATTCTGATCTAAATTATGTTCATAATAAAAGAGTTTTCAGTCAAGGTAAATACAATTTCATCCCAGCATAACATCTATATTCCTGCTTTCCTCCTCCACCTCCTTTTAAAAATTCCTTTCCTTTTATTCTAGGTCACTCACCCTGATACACATGAGATTGTCCTCTAGTGGGGAGAACAGCCATGCTCCTCAATGAACTATAACAACACTTCTAAATGCATCTCCTGTAACATACCTCTGTGATTTGCAAAAGTGGGAATAAATCAAAGCAGGGAAGAGATGCCACATTAAGCCAGAAGCTAAATGTTACATCATGTAGCACGAGGCTGGGGAAGAGAGAGAGCCTGCTTTTTCCTGGCAGCACAATATCTTTGTGCTCGTTACCTCCGCCACAGCTCCATTAAAACAATCATTCTGAATCTGCGGGAAATTGTCACCTCTCTCTTTCCTGCCATGGCAGCTGGTATTGGAGGCTGCAGACATTGCTCATTCCCTTCAAGGTTCTTAACACACACGCAAAAAAGAAAATGAAGCTTAATTTATTAAAAAAAAAGTGTCAGCTTACCCTGAGGCTCAGCGCAGGCACGAGGGAAAAAAAGAAAAGATAAATGTCTCTAGGTGAACTGGCACCGACTGTAATTCCACACTCACTCTGCTGCTCTTCTGTATGTATCACATTAATCATGCTGGATGGTTAGGCATTTCAAAAACTTAAGCAATTTTAAAACAAAGATGCACCATTTTAAAAGCACAATAACATAGCTGTAGTTTGTGATTCTTTCTTTGTATCTGGCAGTGAAGCTAAAAAGTGTGCTGTATAAGTGAGTGTAAATAATTAATGCCAGGGAGGGGGACAAGTGGGAGACACAGAAAAGGAGCCACCACTGTCTTCTCCTTTCCCCTCTGTGACCTTCCCCGGACCACAGGGTGGTCCAGGTCTTCCTATTTACTGGAAGCTTAGCTTTATCCTGGCTCCTGTAGGGATCCAGACAACAGATGGGCAGTTTTTACACAACCCTATCACTTTACCCCATGGAATTTAAAATGCCAATTTCCCAGACCCCAGAGCCTGGCAATGGTCCTGGGGCCTTGTATGCTCTGTTCCTAATGACTGAACTATGTTTTTGTTCACATTACCTTGCCATCCCCATGTGAGTCCTGCTTCCTATGTTGGCCATCCAGACAATGACTGGCCACCCTCAATCCAGTGGAACCCTTGGGTTCTCTGTCTTACTGGAATTGCCTCTCTCCTCTAGGAAATCTTGATGTTCGCTGTGGCCTGACCACCGCTTTTTTTTGGCCATGACATTTGATCTGCAGGCCCAGCTACTTTTGTACCACTGACTGGGCTAACTGACTGGGCTGACGACCTCCTACGCCTGATCAGATGTAGTTTGGGAGGTTTGAGCCAGGCTTCTCCATTTGCTTTCTGTGTTGAGTTTCTACCATAGTCAGGCTTTCACTATGGAGTGGAGTTTTCTGAACATAGTACCATATGACTGTGGCCAAAGATACCCAGCACTAGAAAAGGACATCTTTCTTGCTGGGGTACCTTGGTGCATAGTTCTAAAAATCCATATCCCAAAACAATTGAGATAAGAGTGTGTAGGCGTTGCAGGAGGATAAGCAGCTTGGATATGCTACATGCTCCTTCATTACATGCTTCTGTGAAGTTTTTTTTGGTATGGGGGATTGAACTCAGGACCTTGCGCTTGTGAGGCAGGCACAGTGCCACTGAGCTAAATCACCAGCCCGCTTCTGTGAAGTTTTGAGACATCTGTC